TTTAAAAATAGGCATAAAGAATTATATAATTCTTATGTTTACACGTAAATCCAAAAATCTCACCATATACAACCTTGATGCAGGACAGTCCCACAATATTTCTTTTCCTGTCTCCTGCCTGCATTCACCACTGGAGTAAAAACTTGCTTGGCTTTGGGATCCATTCAGAGGTTTGGTTCTGGGGTGGTCTGGAAGGCCATGGAGGTGTGGCCTTAGGGTCTCTGGCTCCTTGGCCCTGCCTCTGGTGTTTTTCTGCTCCTCTGCCCCCGGCTGCCATGAACTAAGTAGCTTTGCCCCACCTGCTCTTCACCATAGTGTTCTGTCTTAGAGCCAAAAAACCATAAGCCAGATTAAACCTCTCCTCCTTGGAGTCGTGGGTGTCAGGAATGTCTCAGTGCTGAGAAAACTGACTAATAAAAGAGGAAGCAAAGGTTCAGGCTCAATTTTAGGTGGAGGCTCCTGGTACCCCAACATTAAAACCTTGGCCCATCTCTGAACTGCTTTTGTGAGCCTGCAAGAATGAGCCCGCCTGCTCCAGGCTGTAGGGCCTTCATTCTTCTGACCTTCACTCTCCAAGCTGAAGATGTTGGGACAAACCAAAGCACCTTCTCAAAAGTCAAAGTGTGGTGGCCCTGCTCTGGCCCCGGCTCTCATCTCCCAGGGCAGGCAGAGTGTGGGATGTGCTGAGAGGTCCTCTCGTCCTGCACAGCTGGCTCCAAGCTGCTGTAGATGTGGAAAGGCAACCACAGCAGTAAAATATCAGAGTCTGTGTTCCAGAAACACTTCCAGCAGATACCCATTTAAGGAAATATCTGGCCAGGGAGCCAGAAAGAGAATTGGTAAAAGAAAACTAATCAGGGGAATGACTTTAAGGCCCACTGAGTGAAATAATGAAAATGTGGAAGATAGTGTTTTCCAAAAATTACTACTAGAAATAGTTCCACTCCTGTATGCTTTTCCAGAATCTTGCAACTCCTTCATTAAGAAAGGGGTTAATTTCTTTTCTTCTCAAAATTCCATGGGTCTTGGTTACTGGTTCAATGAATGGACTAAGTAGCTGAAGGTGACCCAGCTTCAACCTGGTTTTTCACCATGGGCATCTGGCTGACTTAAAACCTTGGGAGGAAGTCCAGACTATACAGAAAGTCATGCGTAAGTATTCTGCCCCAACTAAGGTACTAGTTGATAGCTAGCGTTACCTGCCAGATATGTGAGTACACAAGTTTTTCACAATTCTAGGATCTAACTTTTGAGTTATCCCAGTCTGCAGGCATTGCAGCGGAGGCCTCAGTCATCATAGAGCAGTGGCAAATCATTCCTGCTCTGTCTTCCAGGAGTTCCTGATTCATACAGTCCATCAGCATAATAAATCACTGCTTTATGCTACTGAGTTTGGGAATAATTTATTGCCTAGCAAAAGATAACAAGAATAAGGGGATCTTTGGGCATGTTTATAATAAACAAGAAGTATCAGCCCCCTGCTAAATCTAGCTGCCCCTATTTTTCTTAGGAGACCCACTCTTCCCCCTTCAGTGGCACTTTTGGCCCCACTCCTACATATCCCATCACATATGTTTAAAAATCTGATTTTGATAAGACATATATCCAATTGCTTAATATTGTATAGTCCCTCCTTTTTCACAGATATAAGAATTTTTTGGCTGATTTTAAGACTTCTAGGAATAATATAAGTATAGCTCAGAAATGTCAAGGCCCAAGACTAGAATTTCACTAAATAAACATAATCATTCTTTCTTTAACTTAACCTAAAAATAAACCCCCATGAAAAAGAAAACAAAGTAAACTTATCCTTTCCTTATAAACTCATAATTTAGAAATAAACCATTAAAATATTTGTAAGCTAAAATGTTTAAAAATAACAATTCATAGTTGCATTTAACTTTTAATGAAGGGTGAGGTTAGAGAGATTAAGAAAAACTTGATTTTTAAAAACTATATATATTTTTCTTATGATATTACTTATTTTTAGGATTGGGGAGATACCTTGGCAGTCTAAGCAATTGCCTGGCAAGCGCAAGGACCTGAGTTTGATCCCCAGTACCCCCAGTGTGCTTTGCTGGCCCCAAAGCTGGGTGTGGTGGCCCATGTCTGTAATCCTAGCACTGGAGAGGCTGAGACAGGAGGATCACTATGAGTCCGAGCTGTATGGCAAGATCCCATACCAAATAATTAAATAAAATATTCTTTAAAAAGAAGTTATTTCTTTTTAAATTTTATTTTGTTTTAATTAACTTGCAATATCGGACACGCTTATCAGGTACTGTGTGATATTTCAATACATACACAATTAGCATTTCTATCTCTTTATGATTTCTTTATGTTTGGAAGCTGTATGCTCTTCTAGTTACTCATAGACTACACAGTATACCATTGTGAACTATAATGACCCTACTGTGCTTTATAACAGTAGAACTTGTTCCTTCTGTTATGGGCGATTTCTAAATATCTCCCTCTAAAGGCACACATGCTTATAAGTCTTTTTTGGAGGTGGCTGGATCCAAGTGTGTGAATGTGAATTGAGCATATGATAACTAAATTAGTCCACTGACTGGTTTAGCACACTTTTGAGGGCCCATGCCATTTTGGATTGCACTACTGTACTGTTTTTCTTCATTGGATCCCGCAGTGCTGAAGTCCAGCGGAGACCCAGTGGCATCTGCCTTACCTTACCCTCAAACTCATTTCTTATCCCAGGATACTTTTACTCACTTTCTGAATTTTTCTAATCTGATCAGAGAGTGTGTCTAACAGACGAGTTTTCAGGAAGTCCATCACTTTGACCACCCGGCCATCAATGTAGCAACTGGAATGAAAAGAAAATAAGAATCAGACAAAATCTTGAGCAGGAAACTACAAGTGTACTTCTCTAGCTAAAGCTATGTGTTGTCTGAGGGAACAACCTAGGGTTTTACTGAGTTCTCAGGTCTTGAAAGGTTTTGATCCTAAGTTCTTTTCTAACAAAAATATGTGTGTTTTTTAAAAATTATACCCAATTCCATGTCCATTTATGGATAAGTGCTGTTATATTCTAAACTGTTGTCATACAAAACCCATTACTTTCTCTATGAGAACTGACAAAAATTCCATAACACAAATTGTGTAACAGGGAAAACTTCCTCTTTTCCTTGAGAAATGACTTACTACTCATCTCATGCCCATCTCTATCCCTACCCTGAAGTAATAAAAGTATGTGACAGTGTCAAAGGATTACTCAAACCCTTTGATAGATTTCTGCAACTTTAAATAAAAAAATAAATATGAGAGCAAAAATCTGACTCAGCACAAGTGAGAGGGTCTCAAATGATTTCAGTTTCTAGCTCACTTTACCAGCAAAATACTTTATAGTGAACCAGCTCCTCCTATCTTTGGGATGAGTAAATGGAACAGAAAAACAAACAAATTAATAAATGGCACAAATTGAAGCCCTAGAGCACTTTTCTAAAATAGTAGAGTTGGTTTCTTCTTTTGGTCTGTTTTCCATTAGGTAGCTTAAGTGAAACATCAAGCTGTACTGACACTATGTACTGAGCATGTGATCTAAATAGGCCTTTGGATTTGAATTCAAATAGCTTTCTGGGGACTCCCTTCATGAGCTTTTTATTTTTAGGTTTAAACTAGATGGGCTCAGTTTAGGTGACCTTCATTATCTCAAACTCTTGTATTCTCATTTTTGTCAAATTCTGAATTGAGTTATTTTAAAAATGTTTATAATTCCTGGGTGTCTTTTCTAACCCAGAAGTATCACCTTGGTTCATGGCTAATGATAGATTTTTCCATTTTTAATAAAGTATCAACCTCTCAGTACATTTTAAGGAACCATGTAAAATTTCTTTTTAATGTTAAATTCCCATACCAATATATGATGTATTGGAATGGTTAGGCTTTATGTTTTTTTTTAAAGCTGGTGTTCTGGTTGAAGTGAGCCAGTGTTGTGGCAGCAAATAAGGGATGCTCATGCTTCCTTAAAGCAGTTCCACTAAATGGTTGGTTGGCATGTGAAAAAAATATGGCTTTAGAGGCAGAGACAACTGAATTCCAATTCAAGATTGTTATTTAATATATGATCTTGGGTAGTAACGTGGTCTCTGCACTTCAGTTTTCTTATACTTAAAAGAGGTACCTGTTCCTAAGAATTAATTGCAAATTAAAGAGATGATGAGCTCAAAACACCTGGTATACAGTAGGCACCCAACAACTTTTAGTCTTTTTTCTAATTTTTAGCTCAGAAATATGGGTAATAAATAATATGGGACTGATTAATGAATTATGTATGGGTATAGAATTCTAAAAATGTGGAAATGCTGTGTTAGAAAGTACATATTTGAAGGGTTACTTTATGAAATAAACATACAGTGATACTGTATTTCACCTCATCCCTGGAACAGACACTAAACTCAGATTTGGTAAAAATTCATTATGTAAAACATACATTGCCAGGTAAATCCATTATTAAGATATCTTAGAAACCTCTTCCTGTTAGAATGACACCTTTAGGAACTCCGATTTTTTAAGGCATTAAGATAGATGCTACATTCCATGAAAAGTAGATACACTAAGAGCAATTTTAAAAATCTAAGATTTATGCAATGTAAATTTAACACACAGTTGAAGCCATGATTATTTGTAATATATTATATGGAGACTAAGCTTATGGCAAACAAATGCACTGTAATTATTCTTTTGCTATCAAACATTCTATAGTTTCCTTTTCTTCTGTTAGTTCCTCATTATATCAAAGATCAGTGTTTATAATACTTGCTGTGAACTCATATAATTCTTATTGAGATAAAAATGCCAATATATTTTTCAATATGGAAGACTCTGTGAATATCTTCACAAGCTCACCACATAGGTGGTTGAAAATCCCTTCACTCTTCCAGTTCTTTCTTTTATTCTTTTTCTCAATAGAACCTGGAGTTTAAAAAAAATACCCTATTCTATCTGATTTGCCACTTACTACACATGTGATATTGGATTTCCTTTTTTTATGATGGGTTTAAAAAATTCAAATCCATATATATAGTAGTTTCTTAGGGTTATTGCATCAATCAAATAAGGGAAAATACTGATCATAGAATCTGGCACATAATGTATTTAATAACCAAATCTACCATGTTAAGTAGGCCAAGGTAGCTGGGTGAAAGATTATGGAATTCAGTAGACAGGGAAAATTACTCTCCAGAGGAGAACATACTTATCCATTATAAAATATGAATAAGACAAATATAAAACAGCAAGAACAGACTCTGGATTCCTAGTAGGCAGGAGGCAGAGGGAAGTTGGCTCTCTGTAACTGTCCATTCAATGGATAGCATTTTAATTTTCTTAATTTAGAAGTAGTTCATTTCCTTCTTC